TGGCTCCATCCGTTCCATCCTTCAGTGTTAGTGAATGAAGAGGTTGGCCAACGGATCGTATGTACTGGTGATTTATGATTTTAATGAGAGAAAGCGATGCTCCCCCTTTTTTACAAGCATAAGAATTGTGTTTGTTAATTTATGTTCTCTACCTCTTTGAAACCATTTTCATGTATGACTGTTGATGGCCATGCTTGTTAATACCTCTGTCCTAGTAACGTACTTCAACAATAATGCTTGCAATGACCATGCAGAAACCTTTACATGATCATTTGCATCTTGCATTGTGTTAATCACAGACCTCACGTTAAGTTCTCATCTACATTCTCATATTTGTGTATCTATAACCTCTTAAGCATTTTGATGTGGTCAGACGCATCCGTCTAACATGTTGCTTTCTTGTTTGTGTATGGATCCGTGTGTGTGTGCGTGTGTGTGATGATTGCGCTGGTTTGTGTCTGGATGTGCATGTGGCTTCTGTGCTTTTGTAGGTGACCTTTGGGGATGCCATGAGGAATAAAGCGAGACTTTCCGTTACAGGGAGTACTGGGGAGAATGGTCGGGTGATGACTCCAGAGTTTCCCAAAGCTGTCCACGCTGTCCCGTATGTGAGACCTGACATGGGACTAAACGTCAGCCTGACAGATCTATCCTGATCACTGAGAAACTCCTGAGTGCCTTACAATGGTTTTAATAGAGTGATTTTTTTTTTTCGTCCCTTGTTTCTGTTTTGGCACTTTTTTTTTATTTGTCTTGTGAAAAAGTAAAGGTATGAGAGAGATTTCTCTTTCTCCACACAGACTTTTACTGTTGCTCTCTATCTACATTTTCCATAAAATAGCTTCCCTCAAAGGGTGGAATTTTACTCGAAATATAAACAGTTGGCTTTTGTTTTCTAAACTTGTGGTATCATGCTTTCCTACCTGCTTGAACTGGACTGAGAAAGAAGCAAGGGCTTGATTCACGGCTGCAGTTTCTCCTGGGTGTCAGCGATTCAGTCAGCCCCGCTGTATTTGTGTGCCTGAACAGTGCAAGTGTGTGTGTATGTGTGTGTGTCCGCATGTGTGAGAGAGAGGGAGGGAGGGGTCAATTTATTGATTACAACCATTTCTGTAGCCCCTACCGCCAAACTGGATTTTCAAGCACACTTGATATCACCTCCATTAAGATGTGAAATGGATTTCTTTTTGTAAGAAAATTTGCAGAGAAAAAAATGTACAAAAAAATATTTTTATGTATTTTCACAGAATAGCTTTTAAATAAACTTGCGTACATACTGGTTGGATATGAACGACTTAACGTGAGAGTTCAGATAGAAAGTAGTAAACAGCTTCTAGTTCCATATTTCGAAAGCCAAAAATATTGCATAAGAGAGTGAGACCTTAACGTCATGTAATTAATTCTTAATAAAAACTTTCCTGTATATTTTATTCTTTAACATTAGGTGTTGATATGATCTATATGTCAATGCTTGACATTTGGAAATAATCCTTCTTAGCTTTTTATTGTTGGAGTTGTTGCAGCAGTTTTCTTTTGTTCTTTTGTCTCTGTTGGCTTCAGTGCTTTTGCTGTTTGTAATTTTTCTGATGAGGACCAGAGTTACTGCTCTGTTTTCAAGAAGAAACATAATCTGTTTACATGCCATGAATGGAAAACAATGAACAGGCCGATACGATATTATAGTATGACATTCGAAGGTGATATGAAGACGAGGCATCCACTTTCATATTGCTTAGGTGAAAGTCCAAAATGCCAAATAAGTAAGAGTGCCAAATTCTAGTGCCAGTAGGTATAACTATAGTCTTACTATAATGAATAACTGTCATCTCAGTGAATGTAAATGACTCTGATACATTCTGTAACTTTTGTATCTAGGTGTACAGTTGGTGGCAATGACAGTGCTAATAACAACAGCCTTTTTGCTTTGTTTTTCATCTCCAGAGTTTTTGCATTGATCTGACAATAAAGTAGCACCGGTTGCATGTCGTTGCCACATTATTCTACATACATATATTTTATTAATGCCATTTGTTTTCATTGTTTTTGTTGAAACTGTGAGGTTACTTATTTGAAATTGGAAATATAATGTAAGACATATACATATATAAATATAAATATACACACAATATATATACATAAATCATATATTTTATATAAAAAGTTGAAATATTTAAAAGCTGTATCCTGTTACAAAAGCTACTTTGCTTCCGTTAAGAACTACATTTATTTGTCAGCATTCTGAAAATGCTTTTAAACTATTTTCAGTTCTGTTTTGCACTATTTTTTAAATTAGCACATTTGTCTTCAATTCCCTGTCAAAACTCAACCTAAGCTGTATTATTTTCAATGCCTCTTCAATTCAACATTAGAAACAAACCACAGTTGCTAATCAGTTCCATTACATATTCAGGCTTAACACTGACATTTTGTATATGGAATGTGTGCTAACTTCATTATTTTTTGAAACTATTTCTAAATAAAAGTTACTGATTTCTTGTTATTCTGTGTATCATTCATTAATGTTAGATGTTATTTACCCTGCAGATCCATGTTTATTCAGTCCGTTTAGCAATTGTGTGAGAGGCGGGAAACACTTTGCACAAGTTGCTAATTAGATCACAAATGAGTAATTTTAGAAAACATCTTTGCAGGTTAATCATCTTTGGAGAAATACAGGTGTAATTAATCAGTGGTTCAATCCAAAAAGTGTCTCTGGTTCAGGAGAAATCTAAAACGTCTTCTGACTCAGAAACATTGTTCTGGACATGAACAACCATTGTCATCATTGTCCTTCATGCCTTGAATTCGCTCAGTTTTGGATGCTGAAGCACTGATTTCAGATCCTGCATGTTTTGTGAATTTTCATGATTGCTTTAAAATCCTTTCAAGACTCCAGTTATCCCTGTTTCACAAGCAAACTTCTACCAGACGTTTTTCTTTCACTAACCTTCCCTTAATGTGTTTGGAAGCAGCACTCTGAACAACTAGTGGCGTGTAATCACCAGTCTTCTTCTGATTGAGTATTTGAAAACTGTATTACTCTTATGCAATATGCACTTTTTTATAAATTTTGGGTTTTCATTAGTCATTATCCAAAATCTTGAATGCTACCATAAACACACTTGAATTTTGTTCCTGTATGAGTCTAAAAACCACAAGTTCACCTTTTTGAATTTAAATACTGCAATACATTTTTTGTGGTACAGCTGCAGATAATTACACATATTCCTTATATAAGAGGGTGTTGGCAACATCTTGTTGTGGGAATGCCTTCCTTCAGGAATAAGAGTGAAGCTGGTTACATAAAAAGGAAAGACTTTTTTGATTTAAAAACTTGTTCTAGCCAGATTAAATTAATAATGTCAAGATGACTTTTTAAAGAAAAATTACATTCAACCTTGGAATTCTGCCACCACAAAAAAAATCCCAAGCAATGATGAAACAAACATCCTGGAAAAATATATACATTTATGTTTTTATTAGCAGATAATACAGTGAATAGGCATGTCTTATGCAGAAATGTTACAAGTCTAGAGACATTCTTGCTTCCCAGGTCCTTCATCTCTACTCCAGGTACACATGCTGCTCTAAATGCTTGAGCACAAGAGCTGTGGCTCACCATCTGGTGCTGCGTCGGATCAGATGGCTTGGCAACTGGTCACATCTGGTCATCAACATTTTTATCTGCATTTTGCCCTAAAGACAAATTTTGAGATTTTTATATCTCTCAGCCATTTACTGTTTTTCTTTTAATGTCTTACATTTACATTTGCTTGCAAGAAATTGGAGAAAACCTAAGCTTTGTTGTAATTCCCAATGTTTGAAGACATTTTATATCCAAAAGGTTTAGTCTAACTGGAAACGAATAATAAACTGGTAAAATAAAACCAATAAATAAAATGCTATGCATACAATTATGATGAAATTACAAATTTTCTTATTATATTCTGATGCATGACTTTTTCCAAGTAAGGAGTGACATTAATTACTTTTGCTTCAAGCATCTATTTTCATTTTTTCTATGAAACAAGAAACCTTTAAAGGTTAGGAATGTCTCATGGCTTTACTGCAAACAAATTGCTCTTCTGTCAGTAAGTCTGGCTTTCTTTGTCATTCAAAAATTTATCTTGTTCTTATTATGACAAGTTATACCACAAATAGTGTTGTGCTTTTGCTTATCTAAGCTGTGACATTTTTTTCATTTGTAAAATTGATGTAATTTTTTGAGATAAATAGAATAATTTCACCAAATCAACCTCATCATCTGTGTATAGTCAAGTTTCTCATGGGATATTAGCTCAGCCAATCAGAGCGCAGAGTACTGTTGCGTAAAATTAATCTTCATCCATGAGAACAATCAGACAGTAGGGGACCAGCTCATTCTCCCTCACTTCCCAATGCTACATTGCTAATCAGCGACGGTTGTTGTGATGCTATCCTCACTGGACTGAAGCTAATGATGACAGAAGGTAAACAGAGAATGGCCTGGATCTCATTTAGATGTCAATAGTGCAGCTGGGTCAACGGAAAGGCTATTTTTATTAAGCATGCTCAGTTTAAATAGTTTCAGGAAAATAAATTCTTGGCCGTTTTGTGACACACCTTGATTCTCAGTGTTTACATTTCAACCATTTGAAGATTTTTCAGAAGTCCTTGAAAAAAGAAAAGTACTGAGAAATATCTGCTTGTTTGGTGGCCAGAAAACCTCAGCTTTAATAACTGAAATTAATTTAATTCTTTGTTTCAACAAGTCATATATTAACAAAGTACTTAGCCCGGCCTTTCCTCAATCAATCCCGTTTTTTCCTCCTCATCTACAACCAGTCTGCTGTTTTTAACCAACCCTCCTGTTGGCATGTCTGCTGTGCATAAAGTGCTCGTCTTTTTCAGTTGTCAGATCTTCCACTTTCTTTACTTAACACATCATGTTGCTTGAACTAGTTTTGTTGTTAATAAAAACTCGTCTTTATTGAGCTGCCAGAGAAAGAAAAACTGTGATTGGAAATTTAATGAAATCATCCAGGAAACTCTTAAAGAGCAGGTGCTGGATTTTAAAAATGAGGTTCTATTGTAAGCTGTTCATATCTTAATCATGGGCAATAACTTTATTGCCCATGATATATAATATGTTTTTTGACTAACTTTAAAGCCAGTGGGAAAATCAATACAAACAATTTTCACTTCTCATACTTTTTTGCTTTTTATCCTGCTTTATGTATTTATCAGAAAGATTCTTTGACAAGAAAATCTTTGTTGCATTCTCAATTTGTACATGCTTACAATAGAAAGTTTAGTGTCATGATGGCTTTTACTTTCTGTTATTTTAGTGAGATATATGGGTGCTTTTACAGCTGGGTTTTAAATTTGTTCTAAGCAAACTCTTGGTGTGGTTTGTTTGTGGATAACAAAATTGGACTAGACTGCATGCAAAAATAATTGCACTCAGTTCTTTTTCAGGAGTTGTTAAAGTGATTCCTTTATGGTACAAATGTGATCCAACCTGTGCAACAGCATTATATTAAAAACCGAAGCCAAAAACACATTGCATTGTGGGATGCTGTAAAGTAAATAAACTTCAAAATCAACTAAAAATGATCAAGTCTACAGTTTTTCAGTAACTATAAATACTGGTCAATAATTGTACATTTTAGTGAGGTTGAACACTGATGGTCCTGTAGATCTTTCACTACCTTATAGTAAAGAAAAGTTGGTATTATATAAAACAGTCAATGCAGAATCACCACAATATATAATATGTTTTTTGACTAAACATTATTTTGCTTTTGTGAATAAACGTTGATCATGTTTTGTCTGTATCATGATTCTTCTGATTTTGGACTTTGACTAATCTCACATTGTGATAGAAACTGATGTGAAACTTCAATTAACAGCAATTTTGAGAGAACAGCAAAACATGCAATATATAACAAAATGCCGTATTTGCATGAAAATGAGTTTTTCCAATATGTCTGCGTTTGCTTTAAATAAGTGCCACAAAAGGAATTCTGTCATGTTACCCATTGCCAGGTTTGTTATTAAGTGCCATCAATGTGTAATATATTATCAGCATGGTTGGAGTGCACCTCCTAAAATCAATGACATTTCCAATGTTGATGCGACATTTTCAATTAATTTCTCCTCTTTTCAAGCACATCTAACAATATGACGGCTCATTAGTGTTTACTCCTTACATTTGTCAGTCGCTCCAGCAGGACGGAAGGCAATTCCTTTACAAGACGTGTTCTAATCACCGCGGTTGGTGAGCCTGAGCGGCTGCCAAAGCAACACACTTCCCAGCCAGCCGAGGTGGTGGGTGGTGTAATATGCTGTAAAACAGTTATCCTCTGGCTGGGTTGTCATGGCAACAGTGTTAGCTGGGTTTCTCATGTACAGCATGTGATCTCTGTAGCTGCATGTTGGTGCTAAAAAAGTGGGGGAGGGGTTGTTTCTCCATGCTTGCCACCATTTTAAGTCACCCATGAGAACACAGGAAACCGCCGCCGAGTGTTCAATCAGAGGGGTGACTTTCGGGTGAATTGTACAACCAACCGCAATTCAGCAATGACTGACAGCGAGGCGTGCCTCAATAGAGTTGAGATCTTCTGTGCTGAACAAGGTTAGATAAATCACATAGTGACACATAATAGCTGTTTTTGTTGTCGTTTTCCCTTCGCCTCAAGCAGGTCTGCAAGAAGCTTTGAGGCGCCGCTTCTTTTTTCAAATGTCACAGATGCACAGTTGCAGCTGGGTGGAAATTCTGTGACATTCAGACTGAAGGAAATATTTCTGCTTGCTACTGTGGTGACAGTCAAAGCTCTATATGTGTTTCGATCAATGTGTAGACCATCAATTTTCTTTGACTAACAAGATCAAAAGCAGTCAGAAACAAACTTCTATCTCATTTCTTGCTGTATATCAGATGAAAATGTTTTCCACTCCCCTTCAATTAGTTGAATTGTTCATGCCCACTTGAATGCCAGAGCTGACTGAGCAATAAAGTAATGGTCTGTCTGGAATAACACAGTGATGGAAGTAAAGAACAAAGCCATTTTCAGTCACTTTCTGGCAGCACTCAGGGTAATGAAACAGAGACGGACCTGTAAAAAACTTCATGTAGACAATAAAGTACTATAAGCACCAAGAATTAAAAAAGATGTTGTATGACATCCGATAACATGGAAACTATAGAATAACCAAAACTTGTGTATTAATCAAGCAATTCAAACATATATAGGAGCAAGTATTTAAATCACTTATTTTTAGTGGGTAGGAAAATTATTTACTTCCAGTGAAAAAAGAAGGCATTAATAACATTTTAATTGTTTTTATTTTTCTATTTTTTTTTTTAAATTAAATGCTTTGAATGTTCTATAGATGCTCAGTCAAAGTCTCAACTACAACCTGATAATCTGTCAACCGTTAAAAATTAAGGTGATTGCACAGAGGCCTTTAAAACATCAAGGACTTGCAGCTGATTGCAACATATTCTTCATCAAAAAT